TTCTTCTTTTTTCTTTTATCAAAAGCACTTGCTTGTATATTCCAATCACATGCTGGGAATTCTGAAAGACATGAAGTCTAATCAAATCTAGTCTTCTTAGTCTCAGAACTTTTGTCTTATTTAGAAAGTTAATAAATGTAAGTACTTAAGTTGGTACATGCATACATTTCTGCATTTATATACATGTCAAACTAACAATACAAGGTACCAGGAGTGTGGGTATAAAGTTGTCTAGGGGAATATCTCATAGACAGAGCCCTGGGCTAGCATGTGTTGGTTCCATCACCATCACATACCAAGAAAATAATAAAATATGATAAATGTTAACTAAAAGTACAGCAAAATTTACCCAGCTTGTAATGAATAAAGTAATTTATTAGTGCATATGTATGATAAGTATGTAGATTTTTTTTATATAAGATCAGATTGCATTTGAACATGATACCACTAAAGACTTAGAGATTTTACATTTTTTCACTATTCTTTCTAAGCACAGACCTCCAACATAGTTGACAAAAGGTCTCAGGAACAGCCTGCTTCCTCATGCAGAGTGAAAAAGATATCCTAACTATACTGAAAAATAGACCTGTACTATACTAGGATTGATCATGATCAGCCATGAATTAATCTCTATGCACAAGGATGATATATTCTAATCCATTCTAGTTCTAATATCATTCCTGGATTAAAAATGAAGTCAATCTAACTGACTAAGAATACATAGACAGGTGGTTAGCCAAAATTAGTTAGGACATGGCTGTCATAAAGTGGAATGAATATTAGAGAAGAAAAACTGAAAGAAGGAAAAAGCAGCAGCAGCAATAACTTTACATATCTGCCCAGTGCAAAGACAAATATGTGAACCCTAGCTAAGATCTTGACAATTCAGATGAAATGAAGAGCTGGAGAGCCAAATAATTCTATCGAAGGCTATAGAGCTTGCTTAGAGATCTTACTCACAAAGACACCGGGATCAGCCATATGTAATAAGAAATGAAAGTAATGATGGAGAAGAGAGTGATGAGAGGGCTCATAAAATCATTGCCTTCAGCAGAGTTTGTGGAAGTGAGTGGGTGAATGAGTGGGCAAATATGGATGGAAAAGTAAGGGAGAAAGAACTATGTCCTAGTTAAGTTTGTAAGTCTTGCTCTCATAGTGTGCATCTTGGAGTCAATAAATTGCTACCCAAGGAGAGCAGTTCCAGGGAGCTTAATGTTTTCCTTCAGCAAATGTACCATCTGACCTTAATGCAACATTAGAAATGAAAATGTACATTACCATTTTTTATATACAAGAAAATTAGAATTAAGCAGCAATTATCTCGAAGTGCATTATCTATCCTATTTGAACTGCCTGAATTTCCTTAAGATATTATTGATTTTAATAATACCATTTTAGCACAAAGACCCTGTCACCATCTTAATGTACTTTCTATGTGAATCTAATAGAAATGAGGTGGCTACTTACATGACCCAAAACATCTATCAGAAACTCTTGAGAAACATATAAACTTGAGTGGCACAAATGCTTGTAAAAGTTAGCTTCATTTATAAATTAAAAAAAAAATTTCAGGACCTCAAATCTTAGCCTCAGGCCAGTATTTCAAAGGATATCACTACAGAACCAGAGGATGAAGGACATGCTTTTATTCATTATGTGTTGTTTATAGGAAAATATGCTCGGTATGGTAGTTCCTGTCTATAATCCCAGCTGTCCCAGAGGCTGAAACTGGAGTATCATGAGTTCAAATCCAGCCTAGGCAACAAAATGAGGTTCTGTCTCAAAACAAAAAGAAGTCGGGAAGGAGGAAGGGAGGGAAGAAGGAAGGAAGGAAGGAAGGAAGGAAGGGAAGGAGGGAGGGAGGGAGGGAGGGAGGGAGGAAGGAAAGAAAGGAGGAAGAGAGGGAGGGAGGAGAGAAAAGGAGGGCAGGGGAGAGGAGAGGAAACAAAAGGAGAGGAGGGGAAGGGAAGGGGAAGGAATCCAGAAGTGGAGTACTTTGCAGAGAAGAAAGTTTTCTTACAGTTTTGGAGGCCAAAAGTTCAAGGTCTGTAGGTTCTATCTGCTCAATCTCTGATGTGAGTCTCCTGAATTTGTCAAAACACAAGGAGTGGCATCACATAACTGGACTACATGTAAGAGAAAGGTCATATGATGAGACAGGAAGCAAGAGTTATCAAGTAAGGGCTATCCTCACTATTTTATAACAACCTACTCTCACAGGAACTAACCTATGACTGTGGGAACACCTAATTCAAATATCAGCATTAATCCCTTCCATAACTTATCTCCTTCCATTATGGCCCACCTCTTAAAGATTTACCGTGTCCCAGTACTGTTACTAAGGACCAAGTTTCTAGCATATGAACCTTTGGAAACATTCTTATGGCTACTGCAAGGTAATAAACGAGACAAATGTCATTGCTTGTTCACTTAAAACTAGGGACAAGAGATTGTAGATGTTTTAAGCCAGTGAATGAGAGATGGAGTGGTAAAAGGAATGTGTAAAACCTGGGATTCTAATTTATTTCCATTTATTCCATTCACACATTTAGTTAAATGAATGTTATAATGTTAAATATGAGAAAAGAAACACAACAGACAGTTCTTTGGAAATTATGCCTGTAAAAACATTACAAAATCAAACCCTAATCCCAGAGTTTAAACTCTCTTCTTTGCGGGGGACCAGTGACTCATGCTTGTAATCCTAGCTACTCAGGAGACTGAGATCTGAAGATCGTGGTTCATAGCTAGCCCAGGCAGGAAAGTCTTTGAGATTCTTATCTTTGATTTACTGTCCCTCAAGATCCAGAAGTGGAGCTGTGACTCAAGTGATGCAGCACTAGCTTTGAGCAGAAAACTTAGGGACAGTGTCCAGGCTCTCTCACTGAAAGAAATAACAGGTTGCTCAAGATTACTGAAGCATGTAACAAGAAAGAAAAAAAAAACAACATCTGAAAGGGTCATTGTGGATAGAATACAAGAAACCCAAACTAAACAGGAAGTTAAAAAATATTCCCTCCATTGGGAGAAAATGGGAGAGATGGTAACACTTCAAAAAAGAATGTACTCATTACCTGACTTATGTAATTGAAACTCATCTGTGTCTTTACAATAAATAATACTTTTTGTATAACAAAACAAAATGAAACAAAATCTGTATATGTAATCTTAAATGGCTCAAAATCATAACTCCCTAAGCACTCATATCAATGTAAAAATAGAAAAAGTCCATCACATCTGTCAAGGACACTAGGATCCCTTAATATAACACTCTATCTGCGGAGATGGGGAAACTGAGGCTGAAAGGCAAGTAATTGTGTTCAAAGGTCTCATTCAATGTAAGCTTTTAATGAAGGCTAAGTATATATGTGAGCCGGTGACTACCTAATTCTATTTTCCACAGTGAGAATTTTCCAGCTCCTAATAAATAACTGACAACTAAAGATGATATTACAAAACTTAAAAATCCCCTGGCACTCAGAGTATATATACTACTGGGAAAACAATTAAATTGTGATCCCTCTATGCTTCAATACCAATAATGTGGCTCTATTACTCCACTGAGCTGGTTGGTAACCAGATGTACATAAGGCACTTAGCATAGACAAATCTTTTAAATGTACGTGCATTAATACCCAACTAAAATTCTTGTAAATAAAGGATGCACTGGAACCTCAAATGATGTTCTGTTTTCACAGAGATTAGTAAAGTGGCTTAGATGGTTTTATTCCCTCTTGTTTGATCAGCCGCTAGGGAATTAACATCCACAAAGCCGCATTCATATTAAAAACGTGTGTTATCTAGCACAAATATTTTAAAAGATGTGAAATTCCCTTTGGTTTTTATATATTCCAACAGTAAGTTCATATGATGCCTATTTATACTTAATCCACATATTTAGATATTGTTTATTCTTCCAGAAGCTCTGGACAAATACGAAGGGAGCTAAAATGATGTCATAAGGGTATTTCTTTCCATGAATTAAATTATGAATGTCTTTGTCTTTGCCTTAAGTGGTACCCTTAGTGTGTAATACTATTGGTTATAATGTATTATTTTTTATTCTTTTTTTGATAAAATATATAAGATTTAAGACGTCTTTCAGATATTCTGCCATAATGATTTGGACTTCTGATACCTTCGATACAGTACAGCATTCAGTGAAGTGACCCCCCACACAAATGTTTCTTGAAACACATAGAACTCCCATGCCAGAACCTAATAATGAAGGTTATATTCCCTACTGAGCAAAAATTAGGAGCTTCCTTTTAAGCCAGGTATTGTCATTTAGCACTCTTAGTTGCAGAGAAGATTGTCAAAGAAGATATAAAACCATCCAGTGCTGATTCCGTGAATAACTGCTTGCAAACAAGAAACAAATTGTAAATGTTAACAGTTTATTTTAGGTACCTAAACCAGTTTCTTTCTCCAATTTGTAAACGGATTTTCCTGTCATTTAAAAAATATTTTATATAGCTTACATATCAACATGCTGGATTTCATTCTGCCTGCCCAGAAACACTTAATCTTCATTATGACAACTCAATATATTATTTTAAATGGATTTACTATGTAGCTGTTTGTGGCAACCCCTTTCCAGTAATTATAGCTGATTTTGAGTTTAAATGTATGTAGCAAATTGAAGTTATTTCAACTGAAAATGACCCAGATTCTAAGAGTTACCATTTGAAACATAATCCACATTGCTACCAAAAAAATTTTAAATAGAGATCTGTGAGAATTGGTGTGCGTGAATATCTGAAGTAAGTTTACTAAAACCACAACTCACGTTCGTCATGTATTACTGAACAGAATGATTTACTCAATAAGAAACGAAGTCACTGTTTTTCCATAATTTCATGATAATTTTATTTTATATTTACAGTTTTCAATTTCTAATTCAAGGGTCTTGCTGAGGACTCTGGGGATTGGGGGGAGAGAGATGGGGTTTGGAGGAGAGGGACTGGGAGGTCTGATGTAAGCAACTATGATTAGAAGGGCTAACAGGATGTGAACGTCTTCCAGAAGAAATTCTTGCAGCCAGCTTTGCGTTCTCGGGGTGCCATCGCTGGGTTTGAGTTTGCAGATCTCTGCAGCTCCAGCCTCATCTCATCCTGCTCAGCAGCCTGGGGCAGATCTTCAGGTTCCAGGGCATCATTCTCAGTCTGGTTGGGCTCAGACAGCAGCTCTGCCAAGAAATACTTGGCCAGTTCCTGTATGGGGCAGAAGGGAAAAGGAAAGACAGAGCGGTGAAGGAGGATGAAAAAGACATGGAAAATCCCTTATAGAAGCACCTGGAGTCATACTTTGGTATGGTTTTCACAACTGCGTTTTTGTGACAATTAAAATCAATGAAGGTTAAAAAATAAAGGGAGTTTCTATAAATCACTAGATAATTTGAAGGCTTCAAAAGGGCAAATGCTATATTCCTGCTGCGAGTGCTATACTCCTGTTGAGAGAAGAGAGAGAACGAGAGAGAGAGAGAGTCTGCAAACAGTTTTATAAAGTCCACATCATGAGCTAGAAAGTGGGGAATAGTTCTTACCATTTTCACAAGCACATCGCTTTGTCTTGCACAGTGCCCCTTACCCCTAGCCCAGAAAGAAAGGAAGATCACATTTCAGCACCCAGGTCAGCACCTCTCCTGGGCAGCACCCAGGAGAGATGCTACCTTTTCTTTGTGCTCCATCAGCCCGATTTTCAAATTTTCTTGAACGTCAGGAAAAAAAAACTCACCAGAACTGTGATCTTCTGCACCGATCAGAAAAGAAAGGGGTGCACAGGCAATTCTAGACTCGAAAACTTTCTCTGGGAGGTGTGAGAGCTGAAGGACTCTGGAAAGAACTGAAATTCTCTTAAAATAAAAACACCTGTCAAGCTCAAACTCAGAGGGCAGGAGCCTGCTAAGGGAGGGCAGGGAAAAGGTAAAACAAAACAAAACAAGATGTCAAGGAAGTTTCTTTACCTGCTTTCCTGCAGCAGCAGCCAGAGACTTCTGCAGAAACTGACGGAGCCTGGGGTCCGAGGGCGCGCCGGTGACACCTCCCAGGGCCAGGATGATGGAGAGCGCGGCCAGCGCGCACTGCAGGCGGCAGGACAGCATGGTGTCACTGCCTGAGGAACCGGTCCGGAGAGCGGTGGTCACACTCTGGGCGCAGAACCGATCTGCAGGCTGCAGCGATGGCTGGAAACCTCGCGTCTCCTGCAGAAGCTTGTGCACTCTCCACCGTCTCCCCCCTTTTTAAACTGTCTCTCTGACGTCAGCCTAGGAGGCGCCCCCAGATCTCACCAGTGCTTTTACGCACCATTAGCCTGGCAAAATCAATCACAGACATGAAGGGGAGGCGACAATCTAAAGTGGCTTAAAGAAAAAGAATTGTGCATACACATGGGGACACACAATTCCACCTGCCACACTATTTATGCACTATTTTATTTTCACTCGGTGCTACCGGCATACACATTCCCTAATTGCAATCATACATATATGCATCCAAAGAACCAGGCTGACACAGCCCCCGAAGGGCAAACAAACTATCATATGTAAATGTGTTGTGCATGAATGTACTCCACTCATCGTCAGGCTAACCATTTTAGGGGCCCCAAGCAAATGCAAGTGTATGAAAAAAGATTTCGACTCATTACTCCAAAAACAGACTGGAGAATAAATGATGGACCTTAGAAGGACTGAGTATCTTCTCTCATTCTTATTTCTTCTGTAAAAAAACCCTTATAGAACATGTGTTAGATTCTAAAAGAAACTTACTTTCCTCTATAACAGGGGGAAGAAAATACGTTTGGCTCTCAACTTCCTTCTTCCTTTCTCACCAAGTATGGGGCTTGTATTCTTACTGCAACAGAAGAAGAGGATGGGGGCAGAGGAGGAGACAGAGGTTGATTCTACTTAGGTACTCAGAAATTTGGAGCTAGAAAGGAATCTCAGAAAATAGCAGTAAACCTCAGAATTGCTAAGGTTTAGCAGTGGGCACTAAGTACCCTACTCTGGCTCACTTTCTAAACAGCTGGAATAAAGACCAGATTTCTACTATCTTAGGCCAGATTTCTTTTCACATGGCTCTGAAAGTATCAACAAATTCCTGGACAATAAGAACAGTTCTAGCCAGGTGCCTGTTGCTCATGCCTGTAATCCTAGCTACTCAGGAGGCTGAGATCTAAGGATCATGGTTCAAAGCCAGCCTGGGCAGGAAAGTTCATGAGAGACTCTTATCTCCTCCTAACCACCAGAAAATCAGAAGTGGCACTGTGGCTCAAGTGATAGAGCCCTTGCTTTGGGCTGAAGAGCTCAGGGACAGCACCCAGGCCCAGAGTTCAAGCCCCACGACTGACAAAAACAAAACAAAACAAAAAAACAAAAACCAGTTCTAGATCAACATGGTATATAGAAACACCCAGTCTCTCAGAAATGGTTGTGGCTCAAGTGGTAGAGTGGTAACCTTAAGCACAAAGAGGCTCAGGGTTAGTGCCAAAGCCTTGAGTTCAAGTCCTACAACTGACAAAGACAAAAACAAAAACAAACACCTAGTATCTCTGGACATAGTTGTCAATTGTTTGCCTCTATGTTGGAAAAGGATCAAAAAACCCTTTGTTAAGTAATCTCCTGAAGTTTAATTAAAACTGTCCTGGAAGTCTGTCTGTAATCAGGTTGAGTATTACTGTCCAGAGCAATATTCAAAGCTTCCTGAAAGCTTTGAAAAAAAAAACTCCTTATCAAAGAAAGATAAGCTAATTTCCTAGCATAGATCAGATAATGTTTACAGACTCTTTAAGGAGTGATAGTTTATGAGCTGTAAAGAAGCCAAGTGCCAGTAAACTCTGGAATCCTAGCTACTCAGGAGGCTGAGATCTAAGCATTGTAGTTCAAAGTCTGGGCAAGAAAGTCCATGAGACTCTAATCTACAGTTAAGCAAAAAAGCAGAAAGTAAAGATAGAGCTCAGGGTGTACAATGCCAGATTTGGGAGGGAGAAAAAAACTAAGCAGGAGTGTGAGGCTCTGGTGCATGCACATGCATACATACACACAAACACAAGTCAATAATTAGCTAATCAGAATGCTACATCTTTGGAAACTGAGTGAAGCAGAAAGCATGTCCAATAATGCTATCAAGAGTTAGAATGTCCCCCAAAACAAGAACCAAACCAGTGTCAGAGGTAGGAAAGGTTAGGAGGCACCGTAAATGGCTAAGATCACTATTCCTTTTTATGTCTGTAAATTAAGGCAAAGAGAGAAAACATAGTAAGGACCATTCAAGTCTCCAGGGCTTAAAAATTCCAGAGAAGGCACAGCACAAGGCGAAGCATGAAAAGGTCACTTACATGTTAGAATGGTCTGGGAGAGCAGTAACTCTAGAACCATGAAACCAAACTACAGGAAATATAGGTCATTTGCTCTATACATACTGGAACCTTCTATGGCTCTTAATTGAGAATTTTGTGTCTATATTAGCCCAGCTTTCCTAATCTTCTATCGCCTCTATCCCGGGCCTGGCCATTGGCTGCTCTGTGGAATAGGAGAGTTTTTAATCAAACAGGAGCTTAGGAAATAACAAAGAACATCCTTTCTATCTTGCACTATGCTCTTCTGGAATCTATTTTTCTTTTTTTCCTTTTTTGGGTCCGGTTGTGGGGCCTGAACTCTGGGCCTGGGCGCTGTCCCTCAGCTCTTCAGCTCAAGGCTAGTGCTCTACCACTTGAGCCACAGCACCACTTCTGGCTTTTTTCTTTTTGCTTATGTGGTGCTGAGAAATTGAACCCAGGGCCTCATGCATGCAAGGCAAGCGCTCTACCACTGAGCCAACTTCCCAGTCCCTGGGATCTATTTTTCAGCCCTCCCTGTCTTCTCCTTCCATATCACTGCTCTTTCATTCTCTCCTCCCTCACCTTTTGCTAAGTATCTTCCCAAGATTTCTCCCTCAGTCCTTCTTGAGTCTTTTTTTCCTCTCCTCCTATACTCATTTCTCTTTTCCTTTCGCTTTCCCCAATCATGCTCTGACTTCATTCTGGCTCAGTGGAGCTCTTTCTTGCCTTCTCTCTACTCTCCCTTGTCACTCTGCCTAGCCAAAACCTATCACAGTCTCTGCCTCTAGGCATCACTCTTCTCTTGTGTCCCTTTCTTTCTTCTCTCCTCAAAAGTTTCTTGCCAAAAATAACTCCTGAGCTGAAGTTGTATGAGCACCTATTGGGAACTAGTGAATTCTGATTTGCTTCTCAGACTCCTGTTGAAGAATAGAGGTATAGATGAGATGACTTATAGGGTATTGTTGTTTTTTGTTTTTTAATCCTTTGGTTTTTATGAACCTAAGGTCCAGTTAAAAGAAGAGAGGAGGGGCTGGGAAGGTAGCTCAGTGGTAGAGTGCTTGCCTAGTATGCAGAGGCCCTGGGTTCGATTCCTCAGCACCACATAAGCAGAAAAAGCTGGAAGTGGTGCTGTGGCTCAAGTGGTAGAGCACTAGCCTTGAGCTGAAGAGTTGAGGGGCAGTGCCCAGGCCCAGAATTCAGGCCCAGGACCCACAAAAAAAAAAAGAGGAGAGGGAAAAGGGGAACCAAATTATTTTTGCTTTAAGAGTGGCTTTGCATTCAAGAACTTAAGAAGTCTGCAAACTGAGCCCTCTGAAGTGAACATTCAGAGACTATTTCCCAAGTCCCAAAGGCTGGAAAGGGAAGATGGTCTGGGGTTGCAGTGGAAATTCTGTCTCCCACTGTAGTCATCATGACACCTTCCTCCTAACATAACAATGTGTTTTCTCATCTGGTACTTCAGAGTATGTTCCTCTTACCTCACAGGAGGAAACTGAGGGACCGAGAGCAGGCACACAAAAGGTAGCATGGCCAAAGGAAAATGCCGCGTCTTTCCCGGACCCACAGATACCTGCCATACAGTCTGTACCCAGGATACAAACTCCTTGGGATAGTACAGTCTTCTTCAATGCCCAGCTCTTCTGGCCAGTATATGGTTTTCCATCTCCCTCATGAAATGTACATTCGGGGGAGACTACCTTTTAGTATGAGTAGAAATTCATCTTAGTGAGAAATAATGCCAAATAATGTAAGCAAACACAGACATTCAGTATGAGGCAATACAGAACAGGATTGCCTGCACAAAGCATAGACCTGGGTTCTGGTCTGCTTCTGCCACATCAGCTGTCAGACATTCTCTCTGGTCCTTGATTTCCTTGTTTGCAAGAAAAAAAATCTCAGGAGATCATCTATGTGGTTCCCTTCAGCACCAGTAGTCAACAAACTTAAATCACAAGAAATGAACATGCAGGCGTACTCTGGTGTTAAATGATGTTATTTTTCTCAAATTGGGGATCTATATTGGAAAAAAAACCCTAGTTTTGGATATTGGGGATATTGAGGGCAGAGGATACTTCACAGGCCTACTAGAAAACCTGAGTCTTGTTTCTACTTCTGCCTCCCCTTTAAGAATCTTTTTGCTTCAAATAAGTATGATTAAGGTATATTATCTTGATGCCAATTACATGGTGGTGAATTGGGCATATAGAGTCCCCAAAAAGAAGACAATAACCTTATCAATTAGGATATTTTTAGATTATATAGATAAAAGCAAGATATAGAGCATGTTGGCAGGTGGGAGACTCTAGGCAAGAGAGCAGAACAAAGTGAAGGCATTTACCATTCAACTGTCTCAACAAGGACTTCCAACCAAGGACCAGGCAGCTGCAATGCAAAGGAACTGGCACGGGATAGATACAACAGAGAGAAAGGCGAAGTTAGGAGATGAAGTTGGAGATTCAGGAAGGAGCCAGACCACAGTCAGCTTTGAGGCCATAGTTTGGAATCCATTGAAGGATACTGGTAATGGGACTGGGCTGATGTAATTATTTTCATTTAATACTTTCTGCTTAGTAGGAAAGTAATGATAGGAAAGAAAGAGTAAAAGCAAGAATGTCACTTAGGAATCTAAGAACCTCTGAGAAAAAGAAGGGAAGCCAGGACAAAATAAAACATATTCTCCCTTTAATTGTTGTGACTAATTAAGCTAGTTGGCTCACATAAGGGCTCTTCAAACCTGTCCATTCTAAGCCTTCTGCAGCCAACCCCTGTGCCTAGTTCAGTTCCTACGTCCCAA